TCAAATATTTGAAACATCTCAAATGATTGTACAGCAATTCGACGTTAAACATAATAGTAATCATGATGATTACATTAGCATTTAAGAATTAAATATTTCATATTTTCTCAATTCACCTGATTTATTTATTTTTGAATTTCTTAATATTTGCTCTTAAAGTCATTTACCGGTCCCCTTCCCGTTGTGTTTTTTAATTTAATTCTAGATTCACTCATTTTCCTTAGCCTTAAACCACAAAGTTTTATCCTTCAAAACTAAATCGTATTTGATATAGACTATTAACTATCTTTATTGCCTTATCATTCTCCAAGGAATGATATCTTAATTTATATTGTTTAAGTGGTAACATTTTCGTCTGGCTGATTCACCACGAACTTCTGCAAACAAATGAAAATCTAATACGCTCTTTACAGTTAAAGGAATTTTATGGTTTATTATCATAATACATTTAGTAGTCAGGGCCTATATCCTTTTTTATGCCTTGAACCTGGGACTGCTATCGCGGCACGCTTTGCTTATTGTTCGCTGATTAAGTTTAAACTATAATTTTAGGACCAGAACCGACACCATCAAGTCAGGCAGCACTTTCTAACTGTGTTGTAGTGGCTCGGGCGGCTAGCATTATTGCAGATATTTGGCTTCCTCCTTCTACATCTCGTCTGCTTCGATTGGCCGAAGTTTTTACCGTACTACTTGTCCTACGAGATGATCTCACTCGTGTGTTCAAAGCATTGACTCGAGCAACTGGACTTTTGTGTACAGCAATATATGGTTTAGATTTGCTGGCCGAGACTTCTAGTTGTAGCGAATCAACATGTATTATCTCTAGACATCATTTACCTATGGGTGCTGGATTTGGCCTCCAACTATTCAAGTGGCTTGGTGTTCGTTCTAAAGAATTTTTGCCTCCTGATTATCGTCAACAATTAATTAACCCTCTCTTTGGCTTTTTTATCTTAAGCCTTGCTGCCAAGCAGGCACATTCGACTCTAAGGTAATTTTATTTTATTTT